TTATAATTTTGCCACTAAAGTTTCAACAAAATTTTCCTCTTTATAGTTTTGGTACTTTATTTTTACTAATTTTGTCACCAAAGTTTCAACAAATTTTTCCTCTTTAAAATTTTGGCACTTTATTTTTAATTCTTTATATTTTTGTCACTAAACTTTCATCCGTGCAACGCACAGGCCTTTTCCTAGTTTGAATTAAATTAGGAAGGTGTTTAGTTATTTACTTGATTAACAAGTAAATAACAAGTTTTAGGACTCTTTTTTTGTTGCCCTATAAATACATGTAGTGTTTTCTAATTTTAATAAGAGAGCTTTTTGAAGTATAAAAACAGAGCAGTTCTCTTCCTGTAATATTTTTTTGTTTTCCGTCTTCTCTTTTGTTCATAACAGGTGATCCTTCAAGTTTAAATCTTACACCATGTATTCTTGTCATAATTAACTTTTTAATTTACTGAAACAAGTTCAAATATGTCATAATCTTATTTGATTATCAACAAATTAAGTTCCCCCAACTCATGCATGGTTGATCTTTATGTGTCTCCTCTCCGTGGAATCTTGTTGCCCAAGGGTTGTCATTTTGTGGGACGGTGGTGGGAAATAATATCATATTTTAATATTAAGATTAGTTTTTTTTCTTTAATTTTTTCTTTTGGGAACGACACAATTTTTAATTTTTTTTAGAAATTAAATATCCTCCTATTTTTGTTCCTACAAATCCTCCTACCCAATTAAATGATGACATGTGTCATATTAGTATACTAAAATATCAGTAAATGAGCATTAAATGTTACACATGTCACTATTTAATTGGGTAGAAAGATTTGTAAGAATAAAAAGTAGGAGAATATTTAATTTCTCATTTTTTTGTCCCGCATATTCGGGACCGGTCCTAAGATATTTGGGACCCAGGACAAAGCAAAAAAAAAGGCTCCTTCAAATTACAAAAAAATATATAATAATTAAATCTAAGTTATTTTTTTCGAAGACTCTCGGTAATAGACAAACCTACGGATCCTAAATTAAAGTAATTTGTTACAAAAAATTATTATTGTATAGATTTATAAGTAAATAATTTAAAAAAAATAATCAGAAAAATGTCAAAATCAATATTATCCCATAACAATCTAATAAAATCAATCATTTAAACCATTTGGACTATGTTTTTTTATTGTTTATAGGATATAACTTTAATATACATTATAAAAATATATATAGAAAAAAGAGAAGCAATTAAGGGTTTGAACTTAACTACACATATTAAAAAAAAAAGTTCATCTTACCAAGTGAGCCTATAAGATTTGGGGCCCCAAGTTACTATGGGCCCTAGGCTAGCCCAGTTTACCCCCCTCCTAAGCCGGGTCTGTGCATATCCACAAATAAAGTTTAAGATTATATACTTGATTGAGGTTTAGTTTTTTAAGTAAGCCGTTATTTCTACATTAAATCTCTCAGGGTATCTACGATGGAAATTGTGGATTGAGTGGGAACAATGGTGTAGTTGTAGTTGGCTATGGGACCCAAGGCGGTATTGACTAGTGGATTGTGAAGAACTCATGGAGTTCAGGTTGGGGGGAGGGAGGCTACATAAGATTGAAACGTAATGTAAACGAGGAAACCGGTAAATGTGGAATCGCCACAGAAGCATCTTACCCGATCAAAACCAGCCTGAACACGACACAAACGCCATAGGTAAAAATATTGTTTCATCTGTTAAATATATGGAGTGTATGATTTTTTTTTGTTATAAATAAAAGACAAAACTTCAAAAATGGTCCCTGTGGTTTCCGAAAATCTGAAGTTTGGTCCCTAATTTACAAAAACCTCACGGATCGTTCCTGTGGTTTCAAAACTTTTAACATTTGGTCCTTCCGGCTCACTCCGTTAGCATTTCACCGTTAACTCATTTTTCAATATTATATTGCAGGGGTAATTTCGTCATTTCAGTTGTAACCTTCTTTCTTTAAAAGAAATTGCATGTCTGATTTTTGGGCAAACCCTTTACCTTTATATGCGATCGTCATCTCTCTTCTCCCTTCCACTGTGGCTCGACCGTTGCACCCTTTACGACACCTAATCGCTTCTGATTCAAAGATGGTGACTTGCAGATGTGGGAATGAAACAATGAAGATCACTTCATGGACGGATCGTAACCCTGGAAGACAATTTTGGAACTGTACAAGATGTGGGTT